CATATACATACACACATACACATACATACATACAATGGATTATATGACTCAGCCATAAAAGAGAATGAAATCTTGCCATCTGCAAAATCTGGATGGACTTATGGAATATAATAAGTGAAATGGGTCTGTCAGAGGAAGACAAATTCTATGTGATTTCACTTATATGTGAAATCTAGAAAACAAAATAAATTAATAAACCAAAAATACTCATAGATACAGATAACATTTTGATGGGTTTCCAGATGGGAGAGGCATTGGGGGTCATGGGTGAAAAATGGGAAGGAATTATGATGTGTAAATTGCTAGTTATTGAAACAGTCACAGGTTGTAAAGTACAGTAGTAACTATGTATGGTGTCAGATAGGTACTAGACTTATTGTGGTGATCACTTAGTAAGTTATATTAATATTTAATCAATAGGTTGTATACCTGAAGCTAATATAATATTGTATGTCAACTGTAATTGAAAAGTAAAGAATTATTTTAAAATACCTCAGTAAAATAGGAGAAGGAAATAAGGGAAGAACAGAAATCAGTACAATAGAGTGCAGATATACAGTAGAGAAATTGATAAGGTTAAAAGTCAGATCCTTAAGAAGATAACAGAAATAATATAAGTAAAAGGTATAAAAAGTAACTAATTATTGAAAATAAGATTCACAAATTATAGATATCAGAAATGAAAAAGGAGACTTAATTATATAACCTACAGATATTAAGAGGATATGAACATTTTATCAATAAATTTGACAACATAGATAAAATGGAAAATTTGATGAAAAATGCACATTACTAAAACTGACACCAGAAAAATATAGGAAAACTTGAAATCCCATGTTTGTTAAAATAATTTAAACCAGTAGTTTAAACTTTCCCGCAAAGGAAATTCCAGGCCTGCCTTGTTTTACTAGACAATGCATTCTTTCAATTTTGAAATGTGGAAATGTATGTTAGACTTAACAAGAAAGATCTGAGCTGGAAAAACAGATTTGGGCCTTATCATATAAGTATGTTATTTATTTATACCTAAGGTAGTGCTTCAAACCATCATTATGTTTGAGATCACCTGGTGTAAGATGAATGAAAAGAGTACATAAGACCAGATAGTAAGAATTTCTAATATGAAACCAGCAGTGGAGACAGAGGGGTAGCATAAAATGTAAGTAGTAAATCACAAAATGTGTTATAGAAACCAAGAGAAAAGAGTTTCAAGTAGAATGATGTGACTAGTTTATGAAATGTATTTAGAAATCTAGACCTATATAGACAGAGAGACACGACCATTACATTTGGAAAATGAAGGTCTTTATCAATATTTGACAGTCATCATGGTAAAGAATTCTAGAATTTTAGGTTTTACAGTGTAGTTATAGGATGGGATGGTCTAGGGGTAGTAAAGATTGATGTTTCAATTCTTGCACTGGTACTTACTATGTTTGACTTTTGGCAAGCTTCTGTACCTCTCTGTTTACCTATCAATGAAGTGTAGCTTTTACTTGATTCTACTATATTGAGTAATTAATAGAATTGAGTAGTTTATGTATAGTGTTTAACTTAGTGCCTGACATCTTGTCTGCCCTTGGTATGTATTATTTAATATGATGATGATGATGATGGCAATGGCGATGTTTTGGATTTGAAAGTTATTACTTAGTTTTACTAACTTTTATACAACTTTCAAAAATAAACTGTTTTGTGTACTCATAACTGTAAACCTACTTTTGCCCCACCCTTTACTCAAAGGGTATTTAGGACAAGCTAAGGACCAAGACTTCTGCCTGTTTGCCCCTTTTTCCTGTTCTCAGGTGAACAAAGAAGAATTAGGAAAGGAAATCCCTAAAAGTAGTAGGATGAGCCCAACTGCCTTTTGGACATCAGGGTAGATGACATCATATTAGGCATGTTCTTCATAGAATTCTGAGTTAGATCTATTTTTTAAAGCTGAACAAACTTGTAGTGATTCACTCCAAGTTTTGATCCTTCCATCTGGGTTTGGTTATAGCCAAATGCCCAGACTATACATATCAGTCTGGGATTTCCTTCCAGTAAGCTTCTTGCCCTCCCTATCATTCTGTTGGATATTTTAACCCATTTTCTTGTGTTCTATCCCTTCCAACCTCCATCCATGCTTTGGCAGGGTTTTTTACTGCTTATTTACAGTTCTTAAGTACTTACTCAATTTTAAAAAATCTGTATGCGGATGATATCCAAATGTGTTTTCTGAAATTTCTGTAGGACTCTAGACACATATATCCATCTGCCTACTTGATGTCTGTATGCAGACACAGTATAGTGGTTATGAGTGGTTGTGTTTGAACCTTTGTTCTTCCACTTACTGTGTGATAGGGGCTGAGATAGTTAACCTCTTTATTACTCAGTTTCCTCACCTATAAAATAGGAATAATATTAACTCAAGAAGTTGTTAGGAGAATGAAATGAGCTTTAATAAGACAACACGTGTAAAATGCTTAGAGGAATTTCAACACATAGTAACCTCTTTATAAATGTTACTTGCTATTATAATATCCTTACCATTTTAAACTTAACTTGGACAGAATTGATCTCTTAATCCTTATTTCCTATCTCCACACCTTCTCTTTTCTCTTGTCTTCTCCATATCAGTATATGGCACCTCTATTCACCTAGTTACTCAAACCCCAAATATAGTTGTTAACCCAATTCCCTCATTTTCTCACCATGCCCTAATCCACCAACAAGTCCTTTGTCTTTACCTCCATAACATATCATAAATATGATCACTATTTTTCCTTTCTATTCATACTACCAACGTAGTCCCAGTCACTGTCAGCTCTTACCTGGAATGTTACAATAGCTGGTCTCCCTTTTTCTATTCTTTGCACAATTCATTCCCTTCACAGCAACCAAATGGTGTTTAGAAAACACCAGTTAGCTCATGTCATCACCCTTTTAGTGACTTGCCTTTACACTTAAATAAAATCCAGACTCCTAATTCAGGTTTATATAGTCTACATAGCCTATTTATTTGTCTAATCTTACACAACACTCATTGCCTAGAATACTCCAGCCCTTGCTCTTAATGCTTTTCTCCTAACTTGTTCAAATATTCATCACCTTCGGGTAGTAGATGTTCCTTTTGCTTGGAATGCTGTTTCTGACCTTCTTATGTCTGATTCCTTTTCATCATTCAGCTTTCTTGTCATTTCACATGGTACCCTTTCAGAGAGCTCTCCCTGACCAGGGTTTATCAAGTGCAATAAAATTGTGGAATATACTTTCTAATTCAAATGTAATATAGAATCTAATAGTTTTAGGATTGAGTGGGACTTTATAGAATATATTTTGTTCAGTTAGCTACTTAGAACAGAAATAACTTCTATAGTCCTTATTCAATCACTGTTCAAATATGTGACCTGTTATCTTCTTGGTTTAATAATTTTATAAAAAATAACACTGGTATTTTTTTTCATATAGGATTTCCGGGAAAAAAATACAGATCATATGCGCCCTGACATTGTAGCTCTTCTGAGAAGTAGCAAAAATGCATTTATCTCTGGGATGATTGGAATTGATCCTGTATCTGTTTTCCGATGGGCGGTTCTCCGAGCCTTTTTCAGGGCTATGGTTGCTTTCAGGGAAGCCGGGAAGAGACATATTCAGAGAAAAACTGGTAAGCAGTAGTATTAGTATTCTACCATGTTTCATTTTATAATTTTTTACTTCTCTAAGGAGACATAATAATCTTATGCCATTCTGTTTTCTTACCATACCCTAACATCATGTTTCAGATGTCATTTGTTCTGGTGAACTTCATATAATTGAATTAAATAGATATGTGATGTATATTTGTTATATGGGTTGTTACTTTTTATTAATAAACACCGATTGGAATGAGTGTAAAGCACCTGATATTTAGTAGGCACTCAGTAAAACATTGCTATGCTTTTTAAACAAAAAGTGAAATTTAATTATTATTTAAGTATATAGAATTTGATATTGATATCTTTCTCTGCTTCTTATGTGATAGTTTTTACTAGAAATGAAACAATTTAATGTGGAAGCATAAATTAGGAGTCAGAAAATTAGATGGAGGTAGTGGAGATAGTGGAGATAACCTGACTTAGGTAATCAACCAGATGTCATCTTTTCTCTTGACTGATTTTGCAGCTATTAGCAGTATTTCTTGGAGTGCTACTGCTGCCTTTAAAATTGTGATGGTAAACTCAGATAATACATGCAAAGTATCGGTTTATGACTTTTTTTTATTTACTGGTTTTAGAGAGATAGGAAGGGGGGAGAGAGAGAAAGAAAAAGAAACATTGATTTGTTGTTCCACTTATTTATGCATTCATTGTTTGATTCTTGTGTATGCCTTGATCAGGGATTGGACCTACATCCTTGGTGTATTGGCAGGATGCTCTAACCAACTGAGCTACCCAGTCAGGGCTATGAAGTGTTAGTCCCCTCCCCTCCCCCCTACCACTTACCCTTAACTCAGTTCATTGGATTTTACTTTGACATTTAGAAATGGTTAAAGCAGGTTTCTTTTTCTGTATGCCTCTTCCTTAAATCATAAAATATCCTGTTTCACATTCTGTGGGAGGACATCTTCATAAGCCCTTGTTAACTACTGCAATCACACTATTGCCTGCTGTAGTTCTAGCCTTCGATAGACCATTGCTATGTAGTGAGAATTTTCTAATATATATGTAGTCATTTTCTGGCCAAAGTAACTTCAATAGAAGTGTGCTGGGTACACCTGTGTTTTTAGGACTCTGAAACTTATATGGCTTTTTGGCATGTGCACTACCAGTAAAACTTTTAAATTCAGCTTTGATATATTTCAAAAGAATAACTATTTGGGAGGTTTTATTTCTAAAATGAGAGATAAAACTAATTGTATGAGTTTTCATTTTTCAGATTTTCATGTGTGTAAATTGGCCTTTGTAGATAAGGGAGAGTTATAGTTGTGTGTGTTTTTAAGTAAAAGGAATATCTTAAATTTGCTTTGCCTTTTGCAAAGTTATTTCTAAGAAGCTATCTTACAAAAAGGCTTAAGGCAAAGTGTTTTTCTTTTAATTTAAGATATGTTTTATTTATTACAATGGACATCAGTTTTGAAAAATTTAAAGTTGATTAAATATCCTGCTAAGATGTAACTAAGCAAAGAAACATTTCTTCTATTTACTATTACATATATTCTTTTCTAAGAAGATTATTTACATTATATGCTCCTTTTGCATTTAAAATATTATTTGTGGAAGCTGTATGTGCATAATAATTTATACAAAGACATTCAGTGTTACTAATGATCAACAGATTGAACCTGTATTACCTCTGCTTTCATAATTTCTGGATTCTTCTAGTTTTCTAATCTAGTTTTTCTTCCTGGCCCATTTAGAGGTTTTATATAATAAACTCTCTTTGAAAATTTTTTTATTCTGGGACATAACATGCATACAAAAAAGTGCACACACAAAAAATGTATAGCTCAGTGAATTGTCAGAAACGAAAACACCCTTGTAACTACCACCTAGGTTAAGAAAAAGAGTATTACCAACACCCTAGACTTCCCCCTTGGAGAAAGTTTTTAAATTGTACTTTCTATAAAGGAAAAGAAGAGCTATAGTTTATTTGCGTTTTGAGCAATTGACTCAGCAGATATGTTATTGAGAATGATTGTATTACAGTGTATTAGTGCCAGTGTCACAACATTTTTGCTCTTTCCACACCACTTTACCATCTACTATTTTCTGGTGTGTTTGAGGTAAAAGGATACCATAAAATTAGAAATTGTAGCATTGCAAAATAAAAACTAACAGAATAACTAAAAATGGATTAAGTAGAAGATTCAGAACATTTATAAAGACTGTAAATAGTATGCAAACATATTAAAGTGAAACAGGAATTGGAGGTTATTTAAGCAGAAGCAGAATATATGGAAGGCAAAAGGTAACTAAATTCAGATCTTGAATGAGAATAAGAGGTAAAAGATCATATTTCTAATGAAGAAAGAAGATGTAGACTGCAGAAGTACAGTATCACTTCTTTTGAGTCTGTCTTTATAAAAAATTTCAATGGAATCTTAGTTAATTGTCAACAAATATCCTTACAGTGATCCAAAAATCCTGGATTTAAAAAATTATATTTATTTATTTACTGACTATATTTTTATTGATTTTAGAGAGGAAGGGAGAGGGAGAGAGAGATAGAAACAACAATGATGAGAGAGAATCATTGATTGGCTGCCTCCTACACTCTCCACACTGGGGATCGAGGCTGCAACCTGCACCGTGCACCAGGCCTCTATCCTATATAATAAAAGGGTAATATGCAAATTGACCCTAATGGCAGAATGTCCAGAACAACCACTGGACCAGTCACTATGAGGTACACTGACCACCTCTTGGTTCCTTTCCCAGTCAGCAGGCTCTGATCGCCTGATGGTCACCCGCTGTGGGGGCAGGGCTGGTGAGCGGATGGGAACAACTGACCTCTTGGTCCCTTCCCCCAGTTGTCAAGCACCGATCACCCGATGGTGAACGGGGAACACGGGGTGGGTGGCAGCCGGGGGCGGAGCTGGCTGTGGGCAGCTGGGGAAGATGGTCCTGATCGCAGGCCAGGCCTAGGGACTGAACCCGCGCACGAATTTCATGCGCTGGGCTTCCAGTACTAGTCTACATTAATAAAAGACAAGATGCAAATTGACCATACCTTTGCTATGCCTTAAGCCACGCCCACCAGCCAATCAGAGTGACTATATGCAAATTAACCCAACCAAGATGGCGGCCGGCAGCCACGGAGCTGGAGCAAGCAGGAGGCTTGGTTGCCCCAATGATGGAGGAAGCCAAGCTTCCCGCCTGCCACGGTGGCTCTGAGCTCCACTTAAAGCAACAAAGTTTCAATTATAGAAGGTAAATAAACCCCAGATACCTGCTTTCAGCCGGCTGTGGCCACGGAGCTGGAGCGAGCAGGAGACTTCCCTCCCACCCGCCCTGGCCAGCTCTGAGCTCCTCTCAAGGCTACAAAGTTTCAATTATAAAAGGTAAATAAATCCCAGAATAAAAAA